ACAACGAAAGTGTCAGGCACTGGTTCAGATCATAAAGCTCCCAGTCTCCGCCCTTTTTCGTGGATACCCTATGAAACCAATCTCTCCATCCCTTAGGCGCTTTAGGCCAGTTTCTGAAGGGAGTTTTGTTCCAGAAAGATGAATCCACTATAGACTGTTTAAAGGGGATCTGGTTGATTTCTTGGCGGATAAAATCGGATGGATCAGGATCACCCATAGGCCTGAAAAAATAAACATTAGAAACGACAGCTGATGGAATCAAGATCTCGTTCCTCATTTCCTAGAAATCAGATAAAATAAATTCAAGAAGAGAAGAAATACAGGGTAACGGCCGACACTTGGAGAGTGGAAACTTGGAAACATACCTTAGGAACATGGTCGTTGGTCGCCATCACAGCCAGAGCAGGTTCAGATCTAACGAAGATAGCTTGAATGATGGTTCGATGGAACAGCGGATTTGCTAGGGTTTGAGGCCTTGGTGATGACGGCGTCGGCTGTTGGAGTTGGCTTAAGAAAGGAGGAGAAAGCAAAAAGGGTGAGTGTGTCAAAAGAGATACTATTGAGATGTTGTATAAGACCTGGGTCGGGAAGTCAGGAGTTATGCGTATATCTCGGGATAGAGCGGTTACGGCGTGATAAACCAATAAGCTGGAATTTTGGAATAAAACCATTTTATCACAAAATTGGGGGACATGTGTTTACATCAAAATTTGGGAGAAGAACGCGGGAACTCGTAGGCTTCCAAGATTGTGCCAATCAAGGAATCGATTGAATGAGGATCGATGTCAGCCGATTCAGATACGACTCTGGAATCGGATCGCTTGGGATGACGTCAGCGGATAGCGATGGTGAACTACGGTTGACGCCAGGAAACTACATATCGGACTCTACAAAAAGGGAAAGATTAGAGTCCAAGTTATCTTAAATTAGGAATGTTTTCGTTTATGCCAAAGATTGTAATGAATCGTGCTCAAGTAGGATTCATGTTTAGACTCCGGGTATAAATATCAGACCCCGGCTATTGTAAAGGACAACAATCAATCCAATATACAAGTCATTTACTTTTTCGGCTCCGGCCACCCTTAGGAGTAGGAGTACATAAGATCTCGGTGAGTTCTTCAGCAAGTATGGCTATATCAATCCGGTCGACCTCCACTGCGACTCTAGTATAAGTTAGTTATCGACTCTTGCCTAGTTCAAGTATGGCTACATCGATCCGATCGACCCCCACTGCATGAACTAGATCAAGGTCAAGTTATTGGCTCTACCTTAGGATGACAATCTTTGGTAGATTCATTAAGTTACTGATATTGCTTATTGCTTTCATTATTTATCTAATTACACCAATATCACTTCGCCCAATTGAGATTGATCCAGATCGGCCTTATATTTTTTTAACCCATCGTTTGTTAATCTAAATTGACCTAATCTGCACTTTAAACGATGAGTTATGCTTTATCGGCTATTTTGTATCAATCTTGATTGTGCATAGCGTGCGGTTAAGACGTGTTTGATCTTAAGTAGATCTATTGGCTAGCGAGAACCGTTCCATGGCCCGTTATCATAGTCTGTGTGATTCTGCCTCACACCCCACTGTTAGCACCGTGGAGTGGGGATCATTATTTGATAGATCTATTCCTGATAAGGCATGACTTTAGTTGCGCGCTATGCCTGAATTGGCTATTTTAGCCAATATCGAGTGCTTTCACGAACAGTTCGTATCATGAGACCGTTGAAGTAAAGATAGGTTGAAAGATATGTTAGCCCCATGATCTTATTATTGTATTACGGCCTGCATGATTCTACCTCATGCCCCACTGATATTAGTAATGAGTTAGGGTCGTCGAGTCAATCATTATTTCTACGGCCTGTATAATTCTGCCTCATGCCCCACTGGTGTCTATCGATAGATGAAATCTAACATGTTCATTAGATTTATCTTTATTAAACGGTTAAATGGTGTCGAATTGTTTCTTTATATAAAAAGGGGTTCGGTTACTTGTAATCATTGGCTCAGCACAAACCGATCATTGTTGACATCTTATTGCCATTGATTAATATTTGTTGAAATAATGATATTTATCCTAAATGATAACCGATTCTTCTTATACAACCCAATGAGCTTTAATCGATTTATTCTCATAAATATGCTGGAATCGACTATTTAGTCGATCTCCTTTCATATCGTCTCTCATAGCCTCACATTCGGGACTGTCTGGCAACACTGACAGGTTTCGCCCTTAATTACTGATGAACTTTCTCTCCTTGTTAATTACAAGGTCAAATTGACTGGCACGTCTCGGGAGGAGTGCGCAGGATCGACCACCCCTGCACTGAAGTTAGGCGGATCTACAGCTCCATCGAGCAGACCCTTCCGACTTGCTGCATGTGTCCTTGGCACAGGACAAAAATTCTGTGTCGACAGAAAGTTAGTGTTATTCAGAGTCATTTGAAGGCAGCTCAGAATCATCATAAAACTTATGCAGACAAGCGAAGAAGACGCTTGCAGTTTGAAGTTGGTGACCATGTGTACCTAAAGGTATCCCCGATGAGAGGTGTGCATCGGTTCAGAGTCCGTGGAAAGTTAGCTCCTCGTTATGTCGGACCTTATAAGATTTTGGATCCATGTGGTGCGGTTGCTTATCGTCTCCAACTTTCAGATATTTTGTCAGCAGTACATAATGTCTTTTATGTTTCCCAATTAAAGAAGTGTTTACGAGTTCCTAAGGAAGTGGTGGAAATTGAAGGACTCCATCTCCAACCTGATCTTTCTTATATTGAGCATCGTGTCAAAATCTTGGATGAAAAAGAGAGAGTTACTAGAAACAAAGTGGCAAAATCATTCGGCGGATAAAATAACTTGGGAACAGAAGATTTATATTCTGGAGCATTATCCCCATCTTCTCCCCAGTGTGCCGAGGTAATAATTTATGTTAAAAGCTCACTCTTACCCTTTTTCCTACACTAGGCACTCACGTAAGGGAGAGTTGTAACACCCTCGGCGTTACACCTTAAATCATTTACTAAAACATGTCATAAACATTATGTTTATGTGTTAATGCATGTGATAGAATGTGAAGATAAATTTCTTATAACTTAAAATAATCAATAAAAATGTTAAATGAAAGTTGATTCAATAGCTCATGTATATTAAGTAGGGTTAAAAACCAATTTTTATTAAGCAAAAATACTATAGAACATGTGTGTGATACTTAAATAAAGTTTGAAGTACAAACTTTATAGATTTCAATGAAATACTTACTGTTGAAAAAATGATATTACTAACTAATATTTCTATTAGCCTAGAAATTGTAAATTGAAATCAAGTTTAGCTCAAAAACTTAGAAAATTTCCAAGTTTGTCAACCGCTAGACATTGCTATGTTTAGCAAATTATTTTGAGAGATTAGGTTAAGGGGTGTTGTAGTGTTATAGTTCGATTTGGTAGTCTCATATGACATCTTGACTATGGTGAAGATGGTTAAGGTCCAGAAGCAACCGTTTAGTTTGCTAGCGCCTGCGCGTGGGCCTCCACAATCCCGCCAAGGCATTGGTGGCACACTGTTGTGTGACCAACTGGCTGGGCGGCCGGCATTGGTGGCACACTGTTGTCTCCTCATGTGCCCCTGTGCGGGAGTGCAGCACGCTTGGCACCGCCGCCGGCAATAGGCAAATCCTCACTGCATGAGAAACATGACGATTCACTCAACTGCATGGAGACTAGCATTGCAGGTCAATTTGTTATTTAAGCCACTTCAGTTTCCTATGGCAGTTCCTTTTTGAAAAAAAAACATCCGTTGCCACTCTTTCCATAATCACAGTCTCTAAAAAAGGTTATATCTCCTTTGGCACTTTTTTATGCAGAGTCCTTGCTTATTCATAGTTATATTTCCTGACCAAACACTTCTTTTTTTGAGTCAGGGATTTGAGGATCCTGTTATCTTGTCTATCTAACAATTGAATTGTTGTTGTTGTTTGTTTGCAACCAAAATGCAACAACAAAAATGCAAAACGACGTAATCACAAGATGATTTGTTGTTCTTGCTATTATATGAACATTGTTATTGTTTTTCAAACAAAATAATAAAATATTCCTGCATATTGGGTGTTTGGATTCTCGGAAAAATAGCATCCACGTATCCGTACTACATAGATGTGACCACGCTGGTGCTTTAGGTGCTTAAATATTGGCCCTAGGCATGCAAATTCATGAGCTCCGCCACCGCTCCCAGTAATGCATGAACTATGCTAAATAAGGATGTTGCCAGCCTTCCCAAGTTATGCACAACAACAACAACAACAACATAGCCTTTCAATCCCAAACAAATTAGGGTAGGCTAGAGTTAAAACCCACCATGAGCCCCAAGTCACGGCTCCTTCCCAAGTTATGCAAGAAAAAGAAAAAGGAAAAGAAGTCCTTTTTGCTTTTCCAAACAATCCACTTTGTCCACTTGAACCTATGAATAAAATTTAGGTTTAATTTACTACCTCAAACTATTTAAATTGGTCCATTCTACCCCCATTGAGATTTGTCTTTTTGTTTCCACATGTACAAGTTGAGTTTTTTAGTTAAAATTTTGTGGGTTATGAAAGGATATGATGTCGTCCTATGTTAGAAAAATACATGAACTTTTCATGGTTATTTTTGTAGGCTAGGAGCATCATACTTATTTAACCCTTGAGATACAAATTTGCATGGAAGTAATCATATAAAATTCTCAATGTATTTTTCTAACATAGGACATCATATCCTCAGTCACCTGACAAAGATCTGAACTTAAAACTCATCTTGTGTGGTGAGAAAAAAGACAAATCTTGTTTTTTGGGGGTGGAGTGGGGGTGTAGATTGGACCAATCTAAATAGTTTGAGAGAATAAATCCAACCTAACTTTTGCTTAGTGGGTTAAGTGGATGAAGTGGATTGTTTTGGTTGTAAAATGGATTTCTTCAAAAAAAAGAAGAAGGAAAAACCTTCTCCAGTTCATCACTGCTACACCTTTGATGCAACTGAATACAAAAGTAGGAAAGGATGTGGAGGATCAATTGTGGATGGTTGGGATAATTTGTGATAACCATTTTTTATTCAGACTGGTGTTATATCATGCACAGTGCTTAAACTTTTAATCTCATATACTGAACATTATTTAATGCATTATACATATTGTTTTTCTGTTTGTAGATTTCTGATGGTGGGACTGTTAATTTACTTAGTAGATCCTTGGGTGAGTATAACATCAATGAGCATGGCTTTCATAAACGAAGTGCTGGGCCGGACGAGTCAGATTCTGATGAGAAGGGTTACCGTGTTGTGCCTCTCATGAGATGCACATATTTGGTCCCATCGGTAATGGTGCAAGTAGTGTAGTGGAGAGAGCTATATTTATTCCAGTTCATCGAATCTTGGCCTTGAAGAAGATAAACATATTCGAGAAGGTTCATATCTTATTCCTTATGGTCAAAGATGCAAATAGAAACCATGTTTTTGTGCACTCTTTTCCCACAATTGCTTAACCACCATTCACAGTATTTCTTTGCAATGAAGACCTACATTCTTGGGGAGCTTGTGTGAAGGACTTATTATGCACCTCTAGTTGATTGCAATAGCTATATTCGTTTTGCCCCCAACTGCATAATTCAAGATATCTAGTTTAAAACACTAAATCCTATCTTTTCTAACCAATGTCTAAATTTCCCCCAACTGTATAATATTTATTTAAAGGGAAAAACTGATTTTAAAATGAGCCCTATATTCGTCGTTCCTTGTTTAGTTTGCGTCATGGATCATACTTTTCGCATTGTAGGTCGTATTTCTTTTTCTTTGTGTACCATGCAATGCGATTAAACCAATGTTTACAAATCGTATAGTCGAACCTGGTCGCAATGGGACCGACCAGGCGACTAATCATGATTAGTCATTGACCAGACCGATTAATCAGTCCTAGTTGTCCTATATATTTCAGGACATATACATACTATATACCTCTATATACTATATAGTATACACAATAAAGCAAGCATGATCACTGCACAAGGGGAGAAGATGAAGGACGGAAGAAGATGGAGGGAAAGGGCACATACCGTTTGAGGAGTAGCTCATCACGAAGAGGAACCGCGCATAGGCAGAAGAGGAATTGCAGCAGCGTGGGGGAGGATTCCAGCGTGCCTCCCTGCTGTGCATTTTGGTGAACTCTTATGCTAACCCTAACAGTCCAAATTGGCAGCCCATTAGCCCACATGTAAGCCCAGTTAAGCAGGCCCACGAAAAGCAGAGCAACCAACCTGGTCGTCCCTATCCTAGTCGTACGACCAATCGTGATTAAGCGACGAATAGTTGGACGACTAGGTTTCTGGTCGAGCTAGTTGCCTCGGTGCCCCTGGTCAACCTCCATGGACCGATTAATTGTGATTATTCAGATGCCTTGTAAATACCGGTAACATTCTTGCTGTTCAAAAGCTGGAGAAAAACAAATTGGAGCTGAAAACATCCTGCCAAGACTTGTACTTGTACAGTTGTTGGACAGAAAGGGTACTGCTATGTGCTACACGATTAATTGGAGAATGGAAGACTGATTGGAATTATGCAATTGTTTGGCGTTTCGTGCTTATATATGTACATATTTGATGATATTCTTTGTCATATTCGATTGCATACCATTGTTAAAATTAAATAATTTATCCTACTGTACTATCAAGCTAGGTACAAGTTTCTAACTAGTTTAGCTCATTTTATGAACATGCAGATTCATCTTGAAGCCAATCTTGTGCATTAGAATTTAGAAGTGTCATTTTGTCACACGTACGAGTCTTTGTTCTTTGCTGAAACATTTTTCTTTGAGTTAATCTTGTGCAGAAATCTCTTAAGTATACTAGTGCATGAATGTGATGGGCTATTTACACGGATGGGCCAATCAGCTGTAACTTGGGATCAGAGTATTGCTAATTACATGTGATTATGCTCATACAAAAAGAAAAACATGATTATCCTGCCCTTTTGAATCAGATTGTTAATACGATTTAGCATTTGTGATCTCCAGAAGGTATATAAGTCATGTATACATGATGGGATGGTTGCTGCATCCATTTAAGCAGCCGGCTTAATGTTTGTTTATAGTGCTTTCCACAACACTTGTTTAATGGAGTGCAGTAGTATAGTTGCAGTGAGAGCAGTGTTGGCTTGGTTTTATTGCAGAATGAGAGCAATTAGCAGATGCGTCAAAGGATAAACATGCTCTCGTTTGTTCTAAATTCAATTTGAATACTGTGGCAGTGAACCATGTTTATTATTACATAGAGTAATCCAGGTACTTTATGTTGTCACTACCTATCTAATTCATATTCATTCTACAGTTGCAGTTGGTAAACTTAAGCCATTGAGAGTTTTTTTTCACAGTTTTTATGTACTCATGTTTCTTGATACCTTTGCAGGAGAAGAGGCAACAAATTCTCAATGAGATGAGAACATTATGTGAAGCGTGTTGTTATCCTGGTTTAGTTGAATTCCAGGGTGCATTTTACATGCCTGATTCTGGACAAATAAGCATTGCTCTTGAATACATGGATGGTGGTTCCTTGGCAGATGTTATAAGGGTCAAGAAGTCTATACCAGAACCAGTTCTTTCACATATGCTACAGAAAGTGTTGCTTGTATGGATCTTCCATTTCTTTTTAATCCATATCTGTAGTTTCTATGTTAGCATTAGACATTAGTAAAAGCCAAGATATGACTTTCTGTAAATTTAACTTGATACATTCTTCTGTGTATAATTCAAAAGGGTCTGCGATACTTGCATGAAGTAAGGCATCTAGTGCATAGAGATATAAAGCCAGCAAATTTGCTGGTAAATCTTAAGGGCGAGGCGAAAATTACAGATTTTGGTGTGAGTACTGGTTTGGACAATACAATGGCTATGGTATGCTACTTCTTGGCGACAGTCATCGCAATGTTCTTCTGTGATATTTCTTTTCTGAATACTAGTGAAAATGAAATAATATAGACTGACTTAGCAATATATTTTCCTGCTAAATAAATATGTTCCAGTGTGCTACCTTTGTAGGCACGGTCACATATATGTCACCTGAGAGAATTCGTAATGAGAACTATTCTTATGTTGCTGATATTTGGAGTCTTGGACTAACAATATTGGAATGTGCTACTGGAAAATTCCCATATGACGTAAATGACGGCCTTGCAAATCTCATGTTGCAGGTGAGTTGGTTATTGGGTGGTTACTTGTTTGTTTCTTACTATAGACCTGTAATTATTGATTGATGTTTGGATGAAATGTTGTCCTTTCCATGGACTGACTTCAAATGCTAGTACTCTGAGTACTCTGGGATAAATGACCCACTTGTACATGTCCTCTAGGTTATGCTAGTTTTTTATGATATACTTGTCTTTTGACTTAGATTTTGCTAGTTGAATGCATGGATGGGTTCTCCACTTTCCCTTTGAATATGCAATGTATAAATCATCTGAGAGTGTAGTAAATGTTCACTGCTAACAGGTGTGAGTTGGTTAGGTGGCTAGTAGCACTCATTCGGTCCTGGGTTAGATTCCTGTGGGAGCGAATTTTAGGCTGAAGTTAAAAAAAACCTCCTTGTCTATCCCACGCCAAAGCACAGATCTAAGGGGTCTGGCCCAAGGTTGTGGTCATTCTCGTATGGGCAACATTGTGTTTGGGTGGTGCAGATTTAGGGGTTTTCTTGACCTGCGTGAGAAGGTCTTCTTAGCAAAATGCCCGGGGGCTGTCTTACCCACATAGGCTGGTTTTTTTTAATGTTCACTTCTAATACCAATTGGTATCATGTTTCTGGTTCAAATTGCTGGTTGATGTGATCAGATTCCTTTTTAGTTATAGCAGGTTATTTGAAATTACACAACTTAATTTGACTTAATTTTCTCTGTTATTTTTTCTTAATTGCTTTTCTGTAGCAGCATAAAAAAAGCACGTCCAACACAATGCAACAACCGCAACTGACCTTAGTTGTAGCCGCCCCTACCCTCTGCTGCCTGCTCTTAGCTATAACAACGCATGCTTATCATATTGCAATTTGTCATATGACGCTGTGACCATTTTAGTAATTATCTTTGTATAGTTATTTGCACTTCCCTATCTTCTTTCTTAACTTGATATCTTGTAATTCAGATACTTGATGATCCATCACCAACACCACCAGTAGATGCTTATTCATCAGAATTCTGCTCCTTCATCAATGATTGCTTGCAGAAAGATGCTGATGCAAGGCCCATGTGTGAGCAGGTAAAGATACTTAGTATAAGATGATTTTCATATAATTTGAGTACTGTAGGTAAGGTTTCAATATATACATTTGTCATAATTCTCATGGCCTCATAGTGTTTTTATGCAGAGAAGTGGTTATTTGTCAGTTTGATTTGATCATAGAATGTTGAAGTGTGATTTTCCCAATAACTTCAGCATGTCTGTGAACTCAAGTAGATTATGTTTTATTCCATTATTATTACTTTGATTACATTGAATACTATTTGCAGCTTCTGTCACATCCATTCATCAAGAGGTATGCAGGAACCGAGGTGGACTTGGCAGCATATGTCAAAAGTGTTGTTGATCCAACAGAAAGATTAAATAAAGCAAATAGCTGAGGTGAGTCATTGTAGCATATTACAACTTTACCCTTTCGTACTGTAGTTTAATTTAGGTTTGGCAACATTTTTTGTTAGCCCATTGGGCTCACATAGTCAGATTCATTTATCCTTAAGGATCAATTCGATCCCTCAAGTTAAACATTTGGCTGAAAATAGTCCCTTAGCTGATTTGGCATGATGTATAGATGCACAATGCATTCAGATGGGTTTGCTGGTGTGCTGTACTGTAGCATAACAGAGTAGAATTGGATGAAATTGGATATACAACTCCATAGAGCTCCTAGCATCCGCGCGACGAGAGCGATTTGAGTACTGTTTGGTTACTGTTCACCAATCGCCCGCAGCCGCGTGGGCTCGTGCGTGTGTAGGCATCGGTTTCGCCTCTCCGGATTAATTGAGCCTCTCTTCCTTCACCGCTTTCGCCCTCGCTCTCTCCGTCAAAGTAGTATTAAAAAAAACCTCAGCCAGCAGCGTGCCTCGCCGCCTCCGTCCATGTTTCTTCCTCTTCCTCTCCCTCTCCCGTAGATGCGACGCTTCCTCTCCCCCAGCAGCGGCGGATGCCGATGCGGCGTCCTTGCTTGACGGATCCTGCGCGCATGGACCGCTTCATTCATCGCCTCTTCCTCTCCACCAGCGGCGGCGGCGGCGGCGGCCAGCCTTGCCTAGGGTTGCGCGCCGCACCAGGACGGAGAGGCAGCGGCGGACACTGATACGGCGTCCTTGCTTGATGGAGCCTGCGGGCATTGACCGCTTCATTCATCGCTTCTTCCTCTCCACCGGCAAGAGCGGCGACCAGCCTTGCCTAGGGTTGCGCGCCGCACCAGACGGAGAGGCGGCGACAGCGACGGCGCTTGGGCCGTCGGCATCCACGAGGCAGGAGCGACGATAAGAGGCCGTCCTCATCCTCATCTCCGCCAGCAAGCATGGGCTCCCAAGTGTACATCGCCGCCGTCCTAACGCTGAGGTTCACGCCCCCTCCTCTTTCATCTCGATCTGTTTTCCGATCTTCATTTGCTTGCTGTTTGGGTAGGTCTTACCTACCTGCGTTTGTGTGATTTCCAAGTCCGAGAAGTGCTCCAGGCTGAACATCCTGCACATATAGCCAGTTGTTGTTTATGCAGTTGTAAGTTCAGATGCAAGCCCGATATGGTCAGGAAAAAACCTGAGCAACTATGTAAATATGCTACATGATGATTTCATTTTTTTCCCTGATTCGATGTCCTCTCTTCCAGGCAGCCAGGTCCGTTGGTGGAGCAGCGGTGGCAGTGTCCAAACCAATTTATTTTATTTTTCAGAAAACATTGATCTATGATAGTTAGTTTGCTGCATACCAATTTGACTGGGATTATCTCATACTATGGTTCCGTACTTATTTATGTGTCAATGTATGTACGTGCCATCTTTATATGTACACAAATGCAGCTTATAGCATTTCCCTATTGTTGATTTATGCTAAAAATCACTTTATTTTTACAGTTATATGCCAATGGAGATTTGCAAGATCTTGATTCACAATGGAACCTCATGCTGGGTATGGTCTCCAGTTTTCTTCTTTCAGTAATGAGAATGTGAGATTAATAGTGTTTTTAGAATTTCAGGTACTCATCCTGTCATTTCTGTTTGTATTATTTTTTTTATGGTTAGATTAGATGCCAATAGTTTATAGATTCACCAGTAATTTTGTACCAGTACATTCAGAAGTTGCACTTCATTCCCTTAATGCAGAGAGCATTTGGTTTGTTACAGTTTGCCTACTTCTAGATTTGGAGCTGCAAACCTCATTTTATTTTACTTTGTTTCCATGAACCAAACTGTTTTTGTTGTGCTGCCTATTCCCTCCAAATTTGAAGGTCAGTTCTGCCTGTATAAATCTCTATTCTCATTTTGGGCCTTTGTCTACATAATGCATTTTAGTCGCTGGGCATTTGCCCCTAATTAATGAATGCTTATGTTACTTACGACAACCTATTTAGCAATAGACAATACCTATGTTGTAGACCTGTACTTTTTTTTATCAAACAACCAACATTGCTGACTTTGTTCTTTTCTTATGTTTGCTGTGGGACATACAGTAGCATGGAGTGTTTTAGTGTGACCTCTGCTTCTAATCGCATGTATAAATACATGTTTTTCTATTCACTGCAAAGCTCATTCCTTCTATTTAATTTAGTATCCTTATCATGATATGCTGAGATTATGGTGTTAGCCTTCCGCAGTGTAGGGGTACCTTTTCTTAGGAAACTGATTCTATATTTTTACATAATAAGTTCTTATAGGACCATTTTCCGTTTACTATCAGTCTTTTCCTTTGTTTGAAAAATAGATATCCGTACTAGCTACATGTACACCTCAAGACACAAATGCATCCTAAAGTTTCCTAATCTTTGCTATAGCACCCTCTTATATATCCTTTTGGATTTGATGGCAATGACGATGTTCTTTTCACGGTTTGCAAAAATCGTTACCTGTTTACGATGTGTATAAGATAAGTTGCATCCAAATTGGAGGAAGTGGGGAAGTTGATAGGAAAATGCAGTTCCTGTTTAGTTTTGTTATGGTCCATTCACTCAACATATATATATTTGTTCCTTCAAATCAAATAAGTGTAGGAACATGCATCATATTTGTGCCATCCAGTGCACCAATGAGAACTCACTGGTCTTGCCTAATTACTGAAGTAAACTTATCACCCATTGACCCATTGTTGGTGTAGTCTAGATTCCAATATGGGGGCTCTACTATACAGAAGATTTCATTTACATTATATGCCTCCAAATGACAGACTCAACTCAAGAGATCTTATAGCAATCGTATTTTCTGTTCATGTACGGTGGGTCCAGCCCCTGTGAGCCACGTGGTTTGGCCTGCCAAGCTATATTAAGTTTTTTTTTTCTTGAATTAATATTACTACTCCTTTGTCATCAAACAAATGACATTTTCTGATTTATTCATCCAGGTATAACACGCTGCACATAGCGCCTAGCATTGCTATGGCTAAGTCGGCATAGCTTGCAAGGTTCCCACAGGATCAAATAATGCTACCGATCACTCCTCATAAGCTTCACAGATGATTTGAGACCATCCATTTCTTGCTTTTTCACAGATGACTTCAGGCCATCCATTTCTTGCATTGGTTTGACTCAATTAGTACGCACTATATGTTAGTTATATAATGCATTAACTGCTATGTATATATTAGTTATATCATGCATCTGTATTTCCCAGTTAGTATGCCTGATACTCCTTGTGGAATAGATTAGCATAGCTGTATTTTCCTCTTGCAGTTTTCCTCACAATCTTAAAAGTTGTACGCACAAGGCAATAGTGAAATAAACTATGCCAAGGTCTATGTGCCGCTGAAGCTCTTATACTCAACACCAAATTGCATGGAACAAATGGATTATCACCGTGACTATGTATAGTATACAGGCGCGGCGGAGCGCGCCTACCTACCTAGTTATTTACATTGAACCTCTTGGTGGTAATATAGAGTTTACATGACTTGGTGGTCAAGCTGGTATACGTGGTCGTAATCCCAACTAACTCTATCCTAGTTGTGATATACTCAGCATCCTCCTGCAGTCACACCACAGATGGTGAGACGAGGGAAGAAGTCGAAGGTTGAAGTCGATGATCTAACATTCCCCTATAGTCTAAACGGTCGTTGCGTCATGTATGCTGTGGCTGGAGAATCAAGCGGTCGACCACTGGCAGGTACCACATAACCAAGGCTGGAATTCTTCTCTGCTTTGCATCGTTGCATAATGGAGTGTCCTCTGGGGGTTGAGTATCTTGTACCACATTTTTCCCACCCTTCTTCCTCTTCTTCCCCGTGGAGGCTTCTTCCCCATCGTAAAGGTCATTGTTCTTATACCTACTGGCCCCACACATAGAACATTTATCTAGTGACTTGAACATATCGCCACGAAAAAAGAATACAGTGGTTGGAGCATGCATGGATTTTTTTCAACCCCCATTATCAATGGATTTATAACCTTTTTTGCTTAGTATGTGTTGGCGGGAACTGAATTTGACTGTGGCAGCAACCATGACAAGAGACGCAATAGATCATTGAACCTATAGTCTGACCAGCCGTACTTAGCCTTCAGGATGAATAGCTCAAGCACAAATTGTAGCACTGTCTAGTATTTCGGACAACCCTTTTCAACACCATACATAGTCTCTTTCGATGCTTTTTTTACCATTTCCAAATTTTCTAGACCTTTCGGGCTCTTTAGTAAAATCTCTGGTCCAATGGACCGAAGCATGTCCTCCAAATCATCATCTTCTTCTTCATCACCGACACGTGCTCCGCTATCATTATTGGCACCACCTTCGGTGTTACCATCCCAACCACCAACATCGCCACCTTACTCAAGGTAATCATTAGCCATTTGTGCACCAAGCTCTGCTTACATATTGGTCTAGGTAACCTAGGGTTTCAACGTCATCTTCTTCTGGATCAACGTCGTCAACAACCGTTTCACCATAATGAATCCACACTGTGTAGCCCTTAACAAATCTCCGCATAATCAAGTGTGATATGATGATCGTCACATCTTTGAATGCTTTATGATTCTTGCAATCTCTACACGGACAAATAATTGAATCTTTATTCTCTTTCAACGTCTTTGCATGGTTCTCTATGGCTTCAAGAAATTTATCCACTTCCTCACGGAAACCTGGCTTGTACCTTAAAGCACCATACATCCAAGACTGCCTGTACTCCATCTTATATGACAGCTATCAAAGAAAAAAATAAAGGACTAATTATTCACAGATATATAACTAGCAGTTTCATGAAAAACCATTCTAGAGAACAATTAATGACCTAATTAAATATATATATATATATATTTAATTCTCCAATTTAATATCTTGGTTACAATAACAAACAATTTCAAAGACAATAATTAGCAACAATTAATATTTTACACACTATCCTTCATGCAAAAATTTAATTAATAATAATAATAATAAACCAAACCCTAGCTCTA